GCAGTCCTTGACCCTCTGCAGCAAGTGTTTCAGGTCTTCCTCAGTTTCAGCAAGCAGGGTTGTTGATAGATCTATTGTTTAATAATTTTTGCGTTTTATTGGATCATCTTTCTTCAGAATGAGGACAAATATGGATGTATTCCAGTTGACCAGGTAGCTGTCCTTCAAATTTCCTAGCTTAAACTGATGAACATATCCAGGGTTGCATATGTTAGTTGAAACATGTCAACTGGTATTCCATCAATTCCTGGGGCCTTACTTTTTTGTTGTTGTTGTTAATGCCTTCAGTGCAATTTGAACTTTACTTGTTGTTGTGATGTGCCATTGAGTTACCTGCAATTCCTAGCAACCCTATGTACAATGGCTCTGAAGCCTGGCCTGTCCTGAGCCAGTCTCACTGACTCTGACACACTGACCTCAATCATTCCAGTTACTGTATCAATCCATCTCCTCCGAGATCTTTCTCTCCTCTGCTGTCCCTCCATCCTTCTGGGCATGGTGTCCTTCTCCAATGACTGATCTCTCTTTGTCACATGTCCAAAGTATATGAACTTCAAAATCCTAGCTGCCAGGGAGAAATTTGGTTTCACCCTCTCCAAGACAGATTGTTTTCTTGGTGGTCCATGGTATTGTATGTTCAAGACTCTTCTCTAGCACCACAACCCTAGGATATCAATTCTTCTGTCATTTTTAGCCACTGTCCAGCTTTCTGATGCATAGCAAGTAATTGCGAAGACCATGGCCTGGATCAGACACAACTTGGGCTCTCTAGACTGACGTCGCTGCTTCTCAGTACTCTGGAGAGGTCCCTGACTGCAGATTTTTCCAGTGCAATTTGTCTTTTGATCTTAAATTTCAATTGGGGGAACACAAATGCTTGAGGCTGGCACAAATTACAGCTCTCTGATTTGTGGGCAGAGTGCAGAGGGGACTCAGAGCTAGACTCTTTGACATTTGAATACAGGAGTGTGGGATTTACTGAGATTCAAATAATCCACTAGGCTTGGAGCTCAGGCTGCCGAAACTTCCAAGCTGCACAGGCCCAAGCTGAGGCCCCCATTGCTCTCTGCCCTCAGATCAGGGAGCTGTCATCTATGTCTGCCTTGAGCCTGGTGCTGCAAACTGCCTAGTGCTGTGGGGTCTAGAATTGATGTGGCCCCGTTCAGGGCTGGTGGACAGGCTTCCTGGAGGGGGTGGCTTCACTCAGAGTCGTGCTCCTCTGGGGACGCAGGCACCTGTGGCCACATTGGAAAGTGATCAGGGCCAGTTTCGGGGCAGCCAGGATGGCGACAGAGAGAACAAATGTCTTTTTTGCTTCCCAGCCAGCCAGATCAGGTTATGCGGTGGCGCTGGGCGGGCAAGGAGTGGCTGGGGGCGGGGTTCAGGGAGATGCCAGATGAGGGTGACCCACAGAGAGGGGACAAGAGAATGAGTGTCCATAAACTCAACTGACCTCAGAGTCAAGTGGGTGATGTTTCCACAGCCCCTGAAAGAGTTTAAAGGAGGGTGTGTCTTGCGCTGTCTTCCCCATTGCTCTTGATACAGCGAAACTTTCTCCCACCCTAGACTTCCAGGGTGGTTTCTGGTCCCCTCGGACCCATTTCCACATCCCAGGCCCTCAAGGCAGGGTTGTGTCTCCCCAGGACCCCCAGAGTGGCATAATATCTCCTCATGTCCTTAAGGTCAGACCTGATCACCACTTTCAGGCCCCCAGAACAAGTTTGTTGGATACAAATGTTTAGGTTTCAAAAAAACCCCAAAACCCAAATTTTTAGGTTTCCCCTCCTAGGTGAGGCATACCGCCCTTCTGGATCCACATGACCCCTTCTGGCCAATAAGCTGTGAGTAGAAATTCGCCATTTCCAGATCGGGGAATTAAAATGCCCATTTGAGACCTTTTGGCAGCATTCTCCATGTTATGCTGCTGACCATAAAGTCAGCAGTTCAAATCCACCAGCTGCTCTGAAGGGTAAAAAAGATGGGCAGCCTCTGAAACCCAATGGAGGGGTGCTATGAGCCTGAAGTGACTAAAACCCAGTGAGTTTATTTGGTTGGGTTGGTTTTTATTGCCTCCTCTAATCTTAAGATGTCAGGAGCATGAGGCTCCCGGGACAGCGCACTGTGGATGGGAAACAAGCTTTCGTCCTCCAAACCACCACGATCCTGAAGAACCGGGTCCCCTGCCCACTTTCAGGGTCCATGTTGTTAGGTGCCATCAAGTCAACGGTGATCCACAGTGACCCTGTGAACAGATCTGAACCTTGTCCTATCCTGCCCCAGCCTCTTCTCTGATACAGCCCTGCCCGTTGTCAGTCACCAGGCCAATCCATCTTGTTGAGGGGCTTCTTTCACCTTTCCCAGCACCATGTTTTTCCAAGGACTGGTCCCCCTGACAACATGCTCAAAGCGAGTGAGATAAAGCTTCACCCGTCTTGCCTTAAAGGAGTATCCAGGCTATAGCTTCCTCCAAGTCAGAAGAGGGCCAGAAAGGCCCCCTAAGAATGTAGGGGAGGGGGCCGCAGGCTTTCATTTAACAAGGAGTCAGCATCTTGAGTCCCTGGGAGCGCAAAGGTCAAAGCTACTAACATATAAAGGTTGTAGGTTCAAGTCCACCTTCAGGCACAGTTCTAGTCTGACACAATGGGAATGAGGTTTGGCACAATAGTAATTTTTTTAAAATTTTATTATTTGTGTGTGTGTGTACCATCAAATTGGATCTGACTGGTACAGGAGGAGATTGTCCCTCCTTCTCCAGCACAGCATCTGGTGGATTCGAACTGCATGCCTCTGGGATTGTACTGCAGCTTCTTGACATTAGGCCACCAGAGCCCCCTCATAGTAGTAATTTTTGAAAAATCTTCCATACACACACAGAGACAAACACACACACACACACACACACACACACACAGAGAGAGAGAGAGAGAGAGAGAGAGAGAGAAAAGTAAAAACAACATGTAGAACAGGCTGATGGTCAACAGTGTTGGTTCTGGGTTGAAATCCTAGCTGTGATCTTACCGTTCCTGCCATAACACCCTTATCCCGGTTACAAAAGAAAAAACTCTTCAAGGCAGAAGGCAGCGAAGAAATGAGTCGCATGTATTACGAGTTTGGCATGTGGTCAATGTGACACAATTGGTGACTTTATGTGGCATGAACTATGTATAGTCCCCAGACAGAGTCATTCAAGTACTGCCTGGTAGCTATGACCATGGCCTTGTCTGAAAATGGGGTCTCTGCAGAGGGTCTCAGCTAGGTTAACCCAAGGTCATGCTAGAGAATGGTGGGTCCTAGTCCTCTGAGTGGGTCCTTATACAAAAGAGGGAGGAAGGCCACGTGGTAAAGAGGCAGCAGGGGGGAGCCATGTGGCCATAAGCCTAGGGCCATGTGGAGCCACCAGAAGCTGGAGATGAGGGAGGACTCCCCTCCAAAGCCTCCAGAGGAAGCATGGCCTTACCCTCACCTTGACCTTGTACTTTTCGTCTTCAGGACAAAGACTAAATCGCTTGTTCTAAGTCCACTTACTCCAGTCACCCAAGGAAACACACATTCTTACTATTATTAGTCATTGTGACCACTCCCAAAGGTGGCTGGGTCTGGGTCCTCCCTGCCCTGTAGAATTTCTGCCTGTCACTCTCAGGGCCTGCTTCCCTCTCCACACACCAAGAACCCCAGCTGGCCACCTTCCCTGGGGTGCACTGTCAGGACCCTGCCACAGGAGGATGGCGCGAGGCCAGGACGGGACGCTGGGTGGCAGGAGGCTGTGTTTATTGCCAGAGGACACTCCTCCTCCCCGGGCACCATGGAGTATGACTCAGAAGGCACTGGGATCTGTCCAACCGCACCCCTGCCCAAGGATTCCAGGGGCAGGGTACCCCTCCCTCCCCCAGCAGCCTCGCCCCATCCACTTCTCCAGAGCTAGGTGACGATGGGGTCTCTAAGCGTGGAGACATGAAGTTCCCTTGACAGCAGGAGCAGAGGAGATGGCTCCGTGGCCCGAGCTGGGGGCACTGGCTGTAGTGTCTGGCAGGAGCTTCAGAGGGTGGCCAGGGACTACGAGACGCTGGGGGGCAGGCGGGCTGCTGCCGTCTTCTCCACCACGAAGCCATAGTTGTACTGTTGAGGGGAACAGGTCACAGAGTGAGGGAGATGCTGTGGTGAAGGAGGAGGGGCTGTGGGGCCGATGAGGAGACACTTAAGGTGAAGAAGGGCCATGGAGAAAATGTGGGTGTCCCAACACATGGCCTGCCTACACCCAGCCACCTACTTCTTCTTCAATGTCTGCCAGCGACTTGATGGTCAGGTCAGCAAAGGCGGAGAAGGCCTGGTGGACAGAGGCAGGTCAGTCCTCCATCCAGACTGTCCCAAGGAAGCCCCTACCCAGCAACCACTGGGAAACACCCACCCCACTCGCTTCCACCATGTCTAGATTGCTCCTTCCAACCTCAGGGTGTCCCCATTCTCAGCCCAGACTCAGGGCAAGAGACCCTTGAAGGCTGCCCCATGCTCCTCCATTCCCCTCATCCCTTCTCCTAACCCAGGGAATAGTCTAGAACTTCTTTGTGGAATGAAGTTCATCAGATGCCCTGCACAGCCCAGGTGCAAAGGAGCCAGACAGGGGATGTGCTTCCTGATGGGACCCCAGAGCTTAGAGTAGGGAGTGGGGATCAGACTCACCAGAGGACTGCAGCTCTTGCCCTCGAATCTAGGGTGCAGTGTGAAGGGAACCCCATCCATGGCTGAGGAAATAAAAGAAGAGCACTGAGGTACGTGAACCTGTTGCCCACCCACCCTGGGGGGCCTACCTAGGCTCCTCTCAGTGAGGGGTCAAACAGGTATTACCTGAATTGTAGCTTTGTCCCTTTGTGGCTATGTGTCCCCAGGGCCTCGGCTGCCTTTCCCGTGCTCACCTGAGATGCCATAGAGGCTGGAGGCCTCGTAGATGGAATCGTTCCTCCGCAGGGTAGATGCCCGAGATCCCAGCCGTGAGAGTGTCCGCTCTGGGAAGGTGCCCTTGCTGTGTGGATGGGGCAGCCCTGGTCAGGGCTGACGACCCCTCTCCCCCGCTCACTGGTGGCAGCCCCCACCCCTGCACCCCAGGCTCACCTGGGCTGGCCTGGCTGGTCCAGGGAGAGGCCCTGCATGTCCCGGGTGAGTCCTCGGGGTTTGGGCACTGGCCTCAAGACTTTGGCTTTCTTGCACCAGATGGCAAAGCCACCCATGTCCCTGGAAGAGGAGGAGGAGGGAGGGAGTGTGTCCGGCCCAAGTATAAAGGCCCAGAAGAGTGGGACCAGGACCAGGGACTGGGACATTCCGAAGTGCAGTCAGGGTGGGGTCAGCAGGTAGGAGGAACCTGGGCCTCTGGGTGATGTTTTCCTGGGGATTTTTGTTTCAGCTTCTTGCCCGTCACGATAAGTACATACTGTCGTTTTGCATTCTGACTCCTGGTGAACCCCTGCCCTAGAGTAGAACTGTGCTCCCCAGGACTTTCAACGCTATGACCTTTTAAAAGTAGGTTATCAGGTCTTTGCTTCCTCAGAGCCACTGAGTGAATCTGAACTGCCAACTTATTGGCTAGCAGTCAAGCGTTTAACCACTCCAGCCAATCAGGGACTCCTAGCAACATAACAACTTGAGCCCTAAAGATGCTTAATACTGGCACCCATCACGGTTCCAGGACACATCAATTTGCATGCCCCTCACAATGGCTATGTGAGACTGGGACACTGGTCCCATTTTCAAGATGCAGAGTCTGAGATCCTGAGAGAAGACAGAAGGGATATGAACTCACAGGAGTCCCTGAGGGGTCAGAGGGGGCCGTGGAGGAGCCTGGAGGGGAAGGGGGGAGAGAGGCTAGGAGGCTGGAGGCAGCCCAGCCCTACCCTACTCGCAGGTATCCAGGCACTGTCTTTGTCTTCCCGCTCAGCCGGACATCAAATACAGCCGTGTCTGCAGATCCAAGGGGCACCAGCCTCACACACATTCGTTTCTTCTTAGACACAGAGGCCCCTGCGGATGAGGCAAGGAAATGAGAGAGAGAAACAAAAGGGAATATTCAGAGACCTCCAAGCAGAGCTTGGCCTATATGGCCATTGGGTTGTATCATAAGAGGCTTAGGGATGGGAGGGGGCACCTTGTAGCCACTAGGAGTCATTATTGCTTCCAAATTGACATTAACTTGCAATGACACCCTGTAAATCACAATAAAACTATGCTTACAGAGATTTGTTTGTTTTTCATTCACACTGTATTTCATAAAATCATTCTCATATATTCTATTATAAAATTAATCTCCTTTATCTATGTCTGTCTTTTCAGGTCCTCACTTTCCTAATTCCTTTCACCCTCTCCCTCCACCCACCAAACTATGACCGTGTGATTTCCCACCTTCAGTCCTCCTGTCCCCTCCCATTCCCTCTATGGGCATTTATACATGTTTTACTAGTAATCTTTCTGTTTTCACAATAATGGTCTTCTGGTATTTGTCTGTAGAAGTCTGTTAGTTCACTCAACATAATAATACTCTTTAGCCTCTCTCATGTAACAGAATTTTTTAAAAAATCATTGTTCTTCTCTAAAGGGACCTCTCTAAAGTACTAAAGAGCAATGGTGTATCTCTGGAGACTAAGGTGCGTCTGGTACAGGCCATGGTCTTTGCAATCATTTGTTATACGTCAGAGAGCTGGACAATGACCAGGGAGGATAGAAGGAGAATTGATGCTTTTGAGCTTTGGTGTTGGAGAAGAGTGTTGAGGGTACCATGGACTGCCAAGAAAACAAACAGATTCATCCAGGAGAGGGTTAAACTGGACTGCTCCTTGGAGGCAAGGATTCTGAGGCTTTGTCTGATATACTTTGGTCATGTTGTAAGGAGGGACCAGTCCTTGGAGAGGGACATCATGCTTGGGAGGGTTGAGGGAAGGTGCAGGAGGGGAAGGCCCTCTGGGAGATGGACTGGTTCGGTGACTGGGGCAATTGGGATGAGTGTGTCAGAGACAATGAGACTGGCAGGACAGGGCAGAGTTTAGAGCTGTTGTACACAGGGTCGCTATGAGTCGCAAGTGACTCGACGACACATAACAACAACTGCAATTCTCAATCCATTCATTTGCTGATGGACATTTGGGCTGTTTCCAAGTTCTTGCTGTTGTGAATTACACTATTATGAACTTTAGTGTACAAATCTCCATTTGTGTCTGTTTCATTTCCTTGGAGTATATTCCTAGCAGTGGAATAGCTGGGTCATATGGCATTTCCATGTCAGCTTTCTGAAGAAATGCCAAATCGCCTTCTAGAGTGGTTGTACTGGTTTACAGAGACTTTTAATGGCTGATTTTTTCCCCCCACAGAAGTAGACTGCGAGATCTTTCTTGTGAAGTGTCTCTGGGTGAATTCAAACCTCCAGTCCATCAGTAAGCAAAAAAGTGTGGCAACTATTCATGCTACCCAAGGACTCCTTAGGACAAGGTGGTATTTAATGAAATGGATGGGCATTCACGGGACAGCCACGGCCAGTCCTGTAGTCCAGAGGTCAGTCCACCACGGCCCACAGCCAAATCCTGCCCAGGAGCTCAGAACAGGATTTATAATTTGTTGCTGCTGTCAAGTGGGCCTTGTCTCCTGGTGATCCCATGTACAATGCACAGATATGCTGCCTGGCTCTATGTTATCCCCAGCATCAGCTGCAGATCAGTCATATGTGATCTGTAAGGGTTTTTGTTGACCGATTTTCAGGAGTTGATTTCCAGGCCTTTCTTCCTAGACCACTTTAGTTTGGAAATTCTGCTGAAGTCTATTTGCTGTCATAGCAACACACAAGCCTCCACTGACAGGTGGGTGATGGCTGCCCGTGAGGTTCACTAGCCAGGAATCAAACCCAGGTCTCCCAAATGGAAATAAGAACTCTACCATGGAGCCACCACTAACCCTTTTACATTTTAAAAAGTTTGCAAAAAAAAAAAACTCATAGTGACCCCAGACGTGCAGAGTAGAGCCACTCCTTAGCATTTTCAAGGATGTGTCTTGCCAGGCCTGTCTTCCAAGGCACCTTGGTGTAGGCTAAACTTGCCAGCCTTTTGGTAAGCAGTCGGAGGCCTAACTATTTGTACTACCCAGTCACCTGATTGCTGGTCTACTGCAACACCAAGGTTTCTATGAATCGGAATCTACTCAGTGGTAACTAACAACTAAAGGAGAAGAATGTGAAATAGAAACTGTTTAACATGCAAACCCTAAAACAAAATCCCTATCTGGATCTTTGAAAAAAAACTCCACAAAACCTGTGCCATCTCCCACTACAATCCCAGAGGTATGCAGTTCAAATCCACCAGATGCTCTGCTGGAGAAGGAGGGGCAATCTCCTCCTGTACCAGTCAGATGCGATTTGATGGTACACACACAAAACGTGTGTCATCTCCAATATCAATAAACATACCCTAAGGAATCCAACATAATAGGACCATGCTGGGGTGGTGAGGGGTTACAGTGCCACCAGCAGCTCTGGGGTCTAGCTGCTGCTGTGTGCAGTCAAGTAGAAACAGAACCATAGCCAACCCTCCAGGGGGTTTTCAGAGTCAGGAAACCGCATGCCTATCCTTCTCCCACAGAGCGGCTGGTAGATTCGAACCCCCGTGTCTCTGGGACTGCAGCACAGCTTCTCACCACTAAGCCACCAGAACTCTTCCCTATGGGGTCTAGAGAAGGAGAAATTAATTTAGTGAGTAGGAAGGAGGGAGGGCTATGGGCAGTGGGCTCCAGGCAGCGGGAATGGCGCAAGCAAAAGGCAGGAAATGAGATGAATCTCATGGGGTCTGTTTACCCCAGGGGCAAAGAATGGGAGACAGGTAGCAGTTGTGAAAAAAGGTCGCGCTGACCGAACTACAACTTTAGACCAGAGACTATGAATGACTATGTAGATTTTAAACCGGACAACTGACGTTGAGCTGGCACAGAATAGGATCCACCCAACCCCATGGTCACTCATATATAGGAAAGGTGGGCTCCAACTCCAGGTGCCTTTCGTTCCTCCCCTTTCCCCTCCACCTCTTCCTCCTGTTGCCCGGAGTAACCCAAACACAGGACACAGCGCCGTCCACGCAGGACTTACTGGAGTCTTGGGGGTCGCAGACTGGGGAGAAGCCGGCTGGGAGGGGGCTTTTGTCCACCAAGACCTGGATTTCGGTCACTACATTCTCCTGCGTGTTCTGGAGGACACAGCGAGGGTCACCAGGTGGCAGGGGTGGCGCGCCCACATCAGGCCCCCCGCGAATGGGCAGGCGCTGCGAGGTGATCCCAGAACTCCCGAACGAGGCTGTCCCCTACCTCGAGGCTGCCCAGTATGCTGAGACATAGGAAGTAGCCGGATTTCTGTGCAAAGCTCTTGCCGAAGCTGGCAGGCGCCCCCTCGACAGTGCAAGATATCTGTAGGGTGGGCACGGGTCAGCACCAGGCTCCCGTGTGGACTGCTGCCACCTCTGCCCAGATTCAGCCAGGTCCTCCGACGCTCCCACCAATGCCCCATTCAAGCCCCGCCACGCCACCCCACCCCCGACGCCGCTCACTGCGCTGAATCCTCGCGGCGGGGGCGCCGAGGCTGACGACCAGACCAGGCCCGTCAGCGGCATCGAGTCATTCCCAGGTACCGGATCCATTTTCCAAGTCGAAAGCCTAAGGCGGAGATCCCCCTTGGACCTCCGAGCGGCCTCCCGACGGCCTAATGCCAGCAGAAGTCCAAACTACAACTCCCAGAAGGCCCTGCGAAGGAGGCGGCCCCAGAGGCAACATGTACACATGCTCGAGGACACTCCAGCCAATCGCGAGGGCGCATAGAGCCACGCCGAACGTAATCCAGGTGCGCCCGCGAGAGACGTTTACGGAAAAGGATCACTCTTCCTATTCGTCCGTAGCAAGGCTCGCCATTCGTGACGTCACAGCAGAACGCCCGAAAGCCTGGACTACGTTTCCCAAACTGCCTTGCGCCGTTTGGCGCATTGCTGTCAAAGCCAACGGAAACCCACTCCCAAGGAGTCCAGTCGGCTTCACAACGACTTTATCAAATAAAGTAGAAATACCCTTTACTTTTCCACAGCTGTAAGTTTTTGTGGAAACTGACTATGATCTTTCTTCTGCAGTAGTTGGTGAATTCAAGCCGCAGACTTTTTAGTAAACAGCCGATTTTGTTTAACCACATTTCTTCAGGGCTTCTCCCCTGGAATTTACTAACAAAGCCCAGAGAACCGTTGAGCCCTCCTGGATCAACGGAACCTCGGGTTAGCATGGACATGGCACGTAGGAAAATGGTTGCAATTTACTGTGTTAGATTGGAAAAAAATATTTTATCTCTATATAACACCTGACTCCCAAGATATTTCTGCTTTTGAAAAGAGGAACCCTAAAGCCCAAGTAGTCAGTTAGGAACCTCTACAATTTATTGAGGAGTTATGATGTCAGATCAATTACTGTGCATCTGAGAGCTGGACAAAAGGATGACAAAAGAATTGCTGCCTTTGAACTGTGGTGTTGGAGAAGAGTGCTGATCATCCGTGGACTACCAAAAGAACAACTAATATGTCTTGGAAATGGTGCAGCCAGAGTGCTCTGTAGCCGCAAAGATGATGAGGTCTCTGTCGCCTCACATACTTCAGGCATACTTTAGGAGGGACTATACTGGGAAAGGTGGAAGATTGGCAAAGGAGAGGAAGACCTTTGACCGGATGGATTGACATGGTGACTGCGGCAATGCGCTCTACTGTGTCAAGAGGTAGGAGAATGGCATAGGATAGGACAGGGTTCAGATCTGTTTTTCATAGTTTCACTATGGGTCGTAGTCAACTTGGCGTGGCATCTAACAACAAAGCTCAACAGAGGAAGACCCTCAGCCAGATGGATTGACACAGTGACTGCAACAACCAGCTCAAGTGTGTCAGGGAGGATGAGACTGCCGCAGGCCAGGACAAGTTTGTTTATAGAGTCGCTATGAGTCATACTCAACCTAACAACAACAACAAAGCCCAATAAGGGAGCTCTGGAAGCCTAATCCTTAGTAAATATCACTACTAACCCAAAGGCGGTTCAAATCCACCAGCGGAAAAAGACGAGCAGTCTCCTCCCGTGCGTTTTACAGTCTCAGAATCTGGCTGGAGGGTCCTCTATGAATTGGTTTAAACTTGACAGCAGTGAATTTGAAGGGTTTTCAGTTAGAAAGCCTAGTAAAGGGAGCTCTGGTGGCATAGCCACTTGGGAGTAGCACTGCTAACCCAAAGACCATGTTTCTCTGTTGTTGAAATTCACCAGCTGTGAGAGAAAGATGGGCAGTCTCGGGCGCTGGGGGTGGGTGGGAAGTGGGGAGCAAAAAAAGGGGGGTCAGTCTCCTTCCTTGGGATTTATAGTCTAGAAAACAAAATGAAGGATCAGCTATGAGTAGGTTCTGACTCAGTGGTGATGAGACAGGAATTTTCCCCCCCTTGAATGAAAATAAAAGTGATTGAGATTGTTCACAGCTTTAGTCTGCTTGGCTCCACTCTTGTCAACACTCTTGGCACCAGCAGCCGGGAAATTAAAAAGACATATTGCGATGGGAAAGTCTGCTGTTAGGGACCTCTCCTCTCCAGAGTACTGAAGAGCAATAGTGTCACTCTGGAGGCTAAGGTGTGCCTGATAACATGTTGCTCATGGTCTTTGCAATCACTTGCTATGCATCAGAGAGCTGGACAATGACTAGGGAGCATAGAAGGAGAATTGATGCTTTTGATCTGTGGTACTGGAGAAGAGTATTGAGAGTACCATGGACTGCTAAGAAAACAAACAGGTTCACCCTGGAAAGGGTTAAGCCAGGATGCTCCTTAGAGGCAAGGATTCTGAGGCTCCGTCTAACATACTTTGGGCATGTTGCAAGGAGGGACCAGTCCTCAGAGAGGGATGTCATGCTTGGGAGGGTGGAGGGACAGCACAGGGGTGGGGAACCCTCTATGAAGTGGATTGATTCAGTGACTGGGGTAATCGGGGTGGGTGTGTCAGAGACAGATTGGCACAGGACAGACCAGGGTTTGGAGCTGTTGTACATAGGGTCGCTATGAGTCGCAAGCAACGTGATGGCACATAACAACAATAAAAATACCACTGGACTTTTAAACTTTCTGTGTAAAAGCCTCTACTCTGCCCCGGCCTTTACCTGTGAGCCAGTAGAAAACCTCAAGTGCTTGTCCAAGAAGACTAAGTGATATCAATGACTCTTCTAGCTGCTCAAGTCGTTCTAGAGTGAGCTTTCTTGTTTGCTCTCCTCCTTATGTTCTCTAACCTCCTGATTAAATGAGTATGCATAGAGACTTGAAGGAAGTAATGTTTGTCTCCATTACTGGAGAGTTACATTTTTCCTTTTGCTTCTTACAGTCACTCTGAGATGCGCTAACCTTCCAATTACTAATCCACTTGAGTTCTTTTTCTAGTAATATTCCACTCCTGGTGTCAGTTGTTGCTAGGTGCCATCGAGTGGATGGAGTACAACTAATAGAAACCCTGTGAACAAAAGATATGAATCCTGTCCTATCTTGTGCCATCCTTACACTTCCTGACACACAAGAGCTCGTTGCAGCAGTCACCATGTCAATCCACCTGGTAAAGGTCTTCCTCTCGTTTGCCATCTCTCCACCCTTCCCAGATTCATATCCTTCTTGAAGGAATACCCCCTCCTACAAACATGCCCAAAGTATGTGAGCCAAAGCCTCATAATTCTTAACTCCAAAGAGCATTCTGGCTGCACCCTTTCCAAGACCTATCTTTTTTTTTTTATTTAATATTTTTTTATTGGGAAAAACATATTGGGGGTACAAGGAGGTGAGGTTTGGGGGCAGAAGGGTGAGGATGGGCCAGGATGCAGTTACAGAGCTGCACAGTTTGGTCGGTGGGGGGAGCAAGTGAAGGAAATGATGAGGGTCCAGTG